TCTTCCCCTCAAGTTCTCAACATGAACTCGAGAAAAAGTTCTCTGCTTTTATGCTACCCTCCAGTTCAGAGATAAATTGAGATACAGACACAGAGAGAGAATGTATTCCAAGTGATATTAATAAGTGTGGTATCAGCTAGAAAGAACAACCCAAGGAAGTTATACATCCATTCGTCTGAATACAGTTTATTGGAGGGTTTTTCATCTGTTTGCTTAAAAGGAATCAAATGCAAAGCATTTCAACACATGACAATACCTAGTGACATGAAGTGAGGGTGCTCAGCATCTTCCGTAATTCTTTCCCGGCAATATTAGACAAGAGTGATACAACACAACTTTGCCGTAATTTAGCAAGACATACAGAAGCCATCTGTTTCACATCACATGGGCATACCACACAAACAGTCCCCAATTTCCCCCATCAGGAGGATTCCTGGTTGTATTTAAAACCGCTAAACCGATTTAAAAAAAAAATAAAATTTGGCTTACGATACACTGTAGGAATTGTCTTATTTAAACCAAGTACACCACAAACTGTCATGGTGTTCTACCAAGTGTAAACATAACAACAACTCATTTTAAGGCTCTGATTTGAGACATAAGGGTGGATACATTTAAAAACCTTTGTGATCATTTCACCCTCTATCACTGCCCTCAGCACTATTATGTGCCTAGAATAAAAATATTCTGACTGCTAAAAATGCGCCAGACAAAAAGTTCAAAATAGCAAGAGCTCTGCAGTCCTCTTTAGGCCCTGTTCACATTTTGGTTGGAGATATTAATTTATCATTCAACTACATTTTTTTTCTAAAGAAGGCAACATTGAGAGGAAGCTTTGAAAATCCTACTTACATACAACTCCACACTGGCTTTTGACTCTGTAAGAATATACACTATTCTTACCTGTTTCTAGACCAGTACTCCACCCAATATGCTTTCCATTGAAAGGAGGGTAAAAATAAAACACACCAAAAACACACCCCCAAAAAACCCCACACACAAAAACCAAGGTTCTTGATTCAAACTTTCAGCAGAAATCCCCTTCCAGACAACATAAAATAGGAAGCCATGAAGGACAAGAAAAAGAACAAACAAGTCACCTTTAATTTCACTCTTGGGAACACCCCTCTCGGACACACCCATACTCATTTAGCTCACAACTTCACCAAATAAGAACACTTCATAAGAAAAAGATTAAAAATAAAGAAAATGCAAATGTTGTGGAATAAAAACACGGACAAGATCCTCGTCTTCCCAAAACATCTATTCAGAAAATTCACCCATGCCTTGAATGTTTGGTGTTATTTTGTTCTACAATGCAAAACAATATTGTGGAAGAGTAACTGTGATTCATGGCCATGAAAACTGTTTGTAGAATAATATCTGACTATTTCTAGTTCCAAGTAAAAATTCAGTATCATTTAAATACAGATGTCAGTGTCAGACAAAACTTTTATTTATTTACTCCTGAGATCAAAGAATTTATTGCCTAATACATGTCAGTACACTACAAAAACAGGCCAATAACAATAGTGGCATTCAGCATGCCTGCATCCTTGGATAAGATAGTTCAAAGTTGTTTCTATAAGTCCATACAGGATGTCAGAGCACAAAAAGAAGGACTGGAAGAAACTCTTGCCAGAATCAGCTACATCTGGCACTATACTACAGATAGGGTAAGAACTAGAGGTGTAGTAAATGAGTGGTAAGATGTGAGCTGGTGAAGAACAGCTGTTTGAGGCCAAGTGGCATGTTCAACAGCATTCCCAAGCCTTGCTGCATATTTCTTTTTAACAGGCAGAGCTGATTTCTGACTCAAATACCAAAATCAACAGCTTAACTCAAGCTGGAACAGCTACCGATTTCCTGAAGTGGTACATCAGGTCTGTTTTTATTTGTCCATCAATGCTTCTTGACTACTATTCTCTACACTTAGAAATGCTTCTAAACGAATTTCAGGGCATATACAATTCATCTAATATTTCTTCTTTGATAAAGCATTGGTCTCATTCAGCCACTTGGGGAACCCAAAAGTCTGAGTGGGATTCCATGTTAGTGGAATTAAGTCAGTGTCAGAGCAGTCACTTCTCTGAAGAGACATGGAATTAATTATTTTGAAGTACTTAGCATAAAATGAATTTTCTTTCTCAGCTGGCTATACGAGCTTAGTGGATGTATTCCACACTCTTGAGAGCCAGGAACATATTTCTGGTCTACTTACTAGCTTGATTAACACTATCCAAGGTGACAACACTCAGCCTCTAGCTTTAAGATTAACTTAGGTTTTTTATTCCACAATCAGATTTTTCTCACTGATGTGGGAATTACTGAAACATAGCATGTAATCTTTTACCAAACTCTGTAGAAAAAAAACCCAGCTTGATATATGTGCTGTAAAGAAAAAAGTTATCCCAAAACACATAGGTTTCCCACTTCCACACCACAGAATGATCAACAACGTGAGCATGGTTACTATTTCCCAAGCTAAACCGATAGTAAGCAAGCTTTCAAATAGAAATGAAAGGACAAAGCATACTTTTCTGTAGCACTGTGTGCTCCAAGAGCAAAAGGGCCTCTTGTTACACATCCGCCACACCAGTGCTGTGGCAGTTTTGGGGGTCTGGGATTTTTGTGGGTTGTTTTGCTACTAGAACACAAAAAAATCCCATAGAAACAGTCAGATTCCCAACACACTGAGCTCCATTTCAGAGTCCTGGAAAAGTATATGAGCATCTTATGCAGAACACAAAACAAAAATCATTCAAACAGAAGTGTAGCTTTGTAGATGCTATCCACAGCTCAAGCCTGTTTGGGCTAAGAATGTACCCGATCATACATTTTTACAGGTAAATTGAGGAGGTCATGCTCCAGTATTCAGAACCTTATCTACAATATACTATTACTTCAAGCTACCATGAACATTTTCCATACTTTCCATGTGAAACAAAACACTATGCTAGAAAAGGAGATCAAGTTCAAGATGAAGCTTTGTTTTTATCAACAAACCACCAACAGGTCAGGTCATCCTGGAACGCGTGTTACAATACTTTTAATTCCAAAAGCAAAATAAATCTAGAATTAGGTATTCAAAGAAGCATGCACTGTAAAGCAGTAGCAAACACACAGGTCAAAAATAAATCAAGCAACCTAGACTCAGCTCCTTTTTCCAAACCTCCCCCCCTCCCCGTTCCAAGACAAAACACAGACTTGAAGAGTTACAATTAAAAAAACCCTGGCTGCAACCAAATGGAAGAAAAACCTACATTAAGAGCTGGCTAGTCTGAGTAATTAGCTGATCACTAAGTGCTATGCTTTGTCATTTCATTGATCTTTTCAGGCTCAGTCATTTTCTAATAGCCAGAAGAATTAACAGCTACTTCTACACAGAAAGTGGGTTTAAAACAGCACTGACAACTGGCATAAATGGGCTTTAGTAAGAGAAATCATCCATTAAACACAGAACTTGAACACGAATACAAATAGTTCATTTAGCATTCACACCCTCAAAACTAAAATGCATTGAAGAGAAGACAAAGTTAAACATAGGGGTCAAGCATGGTGCTGAATATCAGAGACCGTACCATGACAGACTTCATCAACACCTCGCCTTGTTGGACTGGTCAAAAAAAAAAACCAAACACACACAGATGATGGTACAAAAACTTTTTAACATACTGTATTTTAAAATATTAGAGGATTTCATGCCCTTTTCCCAGACCTCATCCCCATACGCTAGCAAGACTGCCTTGGGACTTACAACGACAGCACTTGCTATGAACGCAAGCTGAATCGATTAAGGGAGTTTACCTAGGCCAGTATCCCGGCTCAGACATACGGACAGTTTAAGACACTTCAGAGTAAGGTACAGGAAGCCTCGTGAATAGGCAATTGCATAATAATATGCCCACACAGGGATTTCCTTCCTAACTGCAAGCAGTTAGTGATTGGCTATGCCCTGAAGCACAAAGATTCCTATCGGCATTAAAAAGAGTAAATCTACAATGTAACGATTCAAATATTTATTATTAACATGCTTATCTAAACCCCACTTAAAATAATACTTTTCTCAACGGTATCTCTAGAAATCAAGGTCCACAAGCTAATCACATTTTCTGCATTAAAAGAATGAGTACAACTTTCAGTGGGCGCAGACCTTGCTGAGCCCTACTAAGCATTATTAATCTTTTAGTCAAGAGTTCATAGAAATACACCCCTAGACAGCAAAGTCTTTAAGGCTGGTATTTGTAAGGCATTCTCTGTGTTTACAAAACTACATAATTTACAGAATAAGTGTTAGGGTTTGGACCTGAAAAATAATGAAGGTACAGTCTAATATGATTTTTGCTTTCCAAACAGAACTGATAAAGAGTGGTTGGATAACTACCAGGCAGATTGAAAGACGTGTGAAATGAAACAGCAAGCTGAACACGCCTTCTTCAAACATGTATTAATGCCCCAAAAAAGTGCCTTCTGTACCTCTAATTTGCTTTAGGCCAGCAAACCATAAACTAGGAATTATTGATATGGTACCCTATGTGAGTATTTACACATGAAAGCATGAATTTCCACACGTAAAAACTTTCAATCTTATTTCTTAAAAGTGTGTAAATTTTGACATTGCTTACTAGAAAACATGAATGTATTTTTAAAAGTATTTTCGGGGCTGGGCATTTAGTCTATGATACAGCTAAGAGCTCCTGCTAATGTTTCCAACCTTTAAAAAAATTTCACAGTTCTAAAAACCTGTTTTGAAGCAGTACGTTATTTATCCAGAAATGCAACAGGATGTCATGACTCACTGCACAATTTTGTCATCTGTTAATTTTTCTCCTATACATACACTCAGCAGCAAGAGATAGCTTCTCCCTCTCATTCCCTCGCACCCCCATCTTCCTACCAGCATCATACGTGATTTTAACTTTTCTTCCCTTGAATACTTTTCCTGTTCCTACAGGCTCAGATCAGTGGTAAAGCTTGCCGTTAAAAGTATCTTCACTTACCTTGTCTCTGGATTATAGCCCAGTATGTAGAAAAATGAATCCACTCGGGCTTTAAACTCTCTAGCAGCAAATATGTCAGAGAAATGGGAGATATTACACTTCCCTCTGAAAGAAAGAGGGAAAACCGGATTAGAATTCTACCTCGAATAACAGCAATTGTAATTAAGTGCCACTGCAATCTGTGTGTAAGCCACAGACATCCTTGTGTTCTCATCGATGTCTAAGATGTCATAAATAGAAGCCTGTTGTAACAAATAACCATGCAGATTCTTCCCATGGTGGAAAGGGAAGAAAATTCAGTTGTGATTTCTCAGATGGTGTTCTACAAACATTCGTTATCTCATCCAGACAGCACATAGTCCTGGGGAGCCACAATTTATCAGACAAATGAACAATATCCACCCTAGAAAGACAATCCTGAAAATGTCTTATTTTCAAAGTTTTTACAGTCCTATTACACTTATGTCCTTAAGGAAGCTTCAAAAATTCTACTATTCATATTATTTCAGAAATTAGCTTTTTATTTAGAAAGCTAAATAAAACTTCACTTTAATAACAGTTCCAAAAAAGGCAAAGCTATGCTGTTTTCAGCAAGACTGCAATCCTAACAATGCAAATTCCAGACACACAAGTTTCTTCCTTCTACTCTCACACGAGTGTAAAACACAAAGACTTTTTTTTTTTTTTTTTTTAAGAAAAAGAGAAAAGAGGATATTAGGTTGTTCTACAACAGATTGTTAATAATTTTTTAAATATAGTTTGCTGATGAAGTAATTCTCCTTAAGGATAAGCATGAAGACCAGCTGTAAGAAGTTGCATCTCATTTCTTCAAGAGTTTGCTGGACTGTTAATGTGCGACAGCTGCTCGTGTTTTGCCATTCAGTGCATTGCAGTTTACTGCCACCAAGTAAATCAGATCAGAAGCAGGCAGAGACAAACAGGCCGGACAAAGGGGTAGTGCTTTTTATCTAAACCCGATTCAGTGCAATAAAGCACAAGATTTTGCTCTTTTTCAGTACGTCAGGCTTTCTACTATACATACAGATAGCATCTCTTTTCACTTGTACGTACTGAATAGTATTTGCCATTATAAATAAGCTGCTATGGGGCTTATTTAACAGTGTAAAAAGGTTTGTCTGTCTTGGTTAAAATTGAATAGAAAGTGCTATTGCCACCAGTACACAAAGATGAACAATTATTTTGCTTGTAGTAATACTGGACATGTTTGCCTAGTCTTCTCAGCAGAGCTTAGAAGCACTGCATGCTTTAAAAACTGCACTAGAAAGTTGAAACGCTAAGCTTGCTTCCCTTCCCAACGTTTTCATGGTAAAGCACTTCAAAGAACTTCCCAATCAACAGCCACTAAGAACTTTGCCTTGGAACATGAGCTCTCCGATACACAACATCAACTACTACAGGTGAGGAAAAAAACCACGCCAGAAGGATGAATAAAGCTGCCGACTGTTTTAAGACAAAATCGATACAGCTATCCTGTGAGCTGAGGCTGCATAATGGCCCTCAGGATCGCCTAATTTCAGTCAATTGTCCTTCTGGCAAAGGACGAAGCGATGCTGGATTTTGCACAGGTCACATCAGGTTGCGATGGAACATTAACGAGGTCTATAATTGAGATGTCGCACAGAAATACTGAAAGACAAACTTGTTCACCAATATTTATTTTATCCCTGGTGGCTGATGCTGGTTTCCTAACTTAGTCATTTAGAAAGAAAGAAAATGAGAAAGGGTATTTGATCTTTCACATTAAATTCATATTTTAAAAGTATTTGGGGAAAAATACTTAATTTCCTTTAAATAATTCACCTGACAGTTATTCAGTGTTTTCCAGATAAGCGTGTATTACCTATATTCATGAACGCAGTACATCTTGTCTATAGCATTTCAGACAAGTAGTACTACATATTAGCACAGAAATTTACCATACAGGTAAAAAGGACATAACTTTTATTACACACTTCCAACAGGGAACTACAAGTATCCTCTAGATAAATTTTTCCACTGGTTAGAGCAGAAGATTGGTAGTTACAGTCACTGGTTTTATTTCCCAGTTTGTCATCAATTCATTGTGTGACCAGAGCCATTTGTCTGCAGAGGGCAGAGAAATAATCTTGTATTATAATAAATTAGAATTCCATGTTAACCCTCCTTTCACACATCACAATACATTCTCCCTACTATATGTTCTCAAACTGTAAAAACACTACATGCAATTACCCTTATGTTCATCTTGTACACTGAAAATTACTAACATATATTAATCACTATTCACTAGGAAAAAAAGAAATCAAAAATATAATCTTTACCCTGCAAAAGTATATTATCTTAATTATCAGCACCTTCAGATACCATCTACAAGCCTGTAAGAATTATCAAAAGTATGAACAATCCAGAGCACAACAAAGCAACAGTGAAACCATATGCCAAAGAGAAACAAAAGAGTGGTCTGAAAGGTGCCCGTGGTATGCAGCTCCGAGCAAGAAGGCAGCAGATAAAACACAAGACAGGTCGAGGAAGTGATCAGTTTGGTCTTTTGGCAGCCTTCACTCTTTTTTGGAAGGGGAGAAGAAAAGGTTATTTTTCAAGTTTGCTTGGTATACACGTATGTTCCATTTTAATCCTTCCATTTTTATCTTTTCTTTGAAGAGGGAAGCAGAAAGGATGTAGAAGAGAAGTGAAAATGCTCACAGGGAAAATTCCACACACATAGTTCAGTTCCCCTCTCTTTAAGCAGACAGATTTCCAAGATTACTTCCATCAAGACAGACAACCTCCTGCTACCTTGTTTCTAAGCATGCTGATTTAAAATTGGAAGGTGACCTTCCGTAACTCAGAAAAAGCACTGTGGAATTTCACGATATAATACACCACTGGAATTTTCTGAGTTTACACAAAAGTCTAAAATGTAAATCAAAGACTTCACCCATGTAACAGAAGTTGCAGCTAGTTTGTCTTGAAGCTGGGGCTTCAGCAAAGTGACTCTGAACAAAAAATGTCTCCAGATGGTTCTAGTGAAACACCATCTGAGCATTATTATCAGGGAGATTATTCAATTTGCATTTTGACAATATCCATGCATGTTTGGCATGTTGAAAATCTGCTGAAAAATAATGCCTCGCTGCTTCTATTTGAAAACGTTTTCAAGTAATAGTGTGTCCTCTCAGCCTAGCCAAAGGTTAGCCACTCAAGTTAAAAACTTAGTGGGTAAAGACAGCAGCAACCTCCAGGAAAGGGCAGATAGTACAGAGTACAGGGGTCCATTACCCCTGTCTGTGCAGCTAGTTTTTAATGGGGCTCTTAGCTGAGCTGCAACAACGACAAGTGCCTCAGAGCAAAAGCCTTTAACGCAATTTAATCAGGGCAACATCCGAACAGTCACTTTACTAGGAGACACTATTGTTAATAGTGAAATCAAACACGGAGCAGGGAAGGGTCGTATTTCTGTCGGAAGTAGCAATAACCTAAATCGGCAATGATGGGAAACAATATCTCCTGAGCAACATAGATTAACTGAGATTAAAATGAGATTGTAGAATTACAGCTCCTTTTTGAATGAGAGCAGATAACACAAGTTAATTACTGTAGGAGATGAGGAGAAAGCTGAGCAGTATGCTAATGATCCCCACACAAACCCAGAAAAAGCAGCGCTCTCTCATTAAGGGTTTTCTCATCCACCTCTGAGACGCTGCACCGCATCCTCTGCGACTTACCTGAGGGCAGCAGCGTGGTAAGTGTCAACATAATCTGAAATGAAGAGCTCTCGGTTCTTGATAACTGGGTCTGTAATAACAAGCTCTCGTCCAGAGTCTGCCAGAAAGCAAAAACACAAACAAGAAACCACCAACACATTAGCTGTAGTCTGAAAGCATCTACCATTGCCATTTTGTAGGTATTTTTTACAGGTCAAAATTTGAGGATGTTTCTTAGATACACACACCTCAGGGTTAAGATGACAAACATTCAGATTGTTTACATGGCCTGCAAGGTATGGAAATAATGTGATACCCATTTTCGCACATGAATTCTCCCTTGTCATCTAGTGATGACGACACACCTTATCCACCAACCACTAGAAGTGGTCACTCCAAAGTGAAAGGAACTAAGCAAATCAATTTATCACTGGCTTTGGGTTTCTGGGTTAAGGTTTTGGTTGTTTTGCATATTTAATTTCAAATCGTCAACAAAAATCTGCTTAGTGTTCTGGCTTAGAGATACATATTGATATTCATGTTCAAATACAAAAATCCTCAGTGTTAAAAAAATTGAGGACAACTTTTTCTATGACTTCCTCAGAATACCTTTGAAGAACACACAAAAGTACTTCTCCACACGCACAAGAGTGACATTAAAAAAAGCAGCCATCTTATCAAAAACACTCACTTTTTGACACTGTGCCTATAAACCCATTGTTAGAAGTTTCAAATAAACTAGTAAGAGAAATGTTAGATTTGTGCAGCATTTGCTAAAAGCACACGCAAAATGTCCTTAATGCCTGCAAAACAGAGAATGCACGCTCAACTTTGTACTGTCATGCACCAGAAAGATGCTGTGTTCCGTATTTCAAGCATCAACTTTTATCATCACAATTCACCTTGGAGTATCTTCAGAATTTTAACAGTTGCCTCCAGGAAATTTCCTGGTAAGAACAGAAGCAAATGTTACGTCTCCCCTAGAGGCAAGAAATAAATGACACTGGAATATGTAACAGAGTTTCTTCTGCTTCTTTTAAACCCAAGATCACGCTTGTTTTTGCAAAGAGAAAAGGGGGGAAACTCAGCTATTGAGTGCTTCAGTTACATCACTTACTGCAATATTAATCACAGTGAGTATTCATACGTGCAAGCTAGCATGAATCTAAAAAAACGTAGTTCTCTTGACACTATGGCAGAACCCCAAAAAAGCAGAAGAGATTCACAATTTCCTCAGACAACTTGGTCTTCAGCCAGTTAGGTATTAGTACGCTGTCCAGAAGGCCTACAAAGAATCCAGTGTTATTTTTCTTTTCTATTCTCTCTTAAGGTGTTAGTATAATACAGCACAGTGTTTAAACCTTACCTGAAATTAATCTGATTATAGCTATGGTTACAGGACATACACTAGTTAGAACAAACAGGGCAGGTAAGAAACACTGTCACCCATCTTCTCATATATTGTTTTTATCAACAGTCCTTGCTTCATATTCCTATGCAAAAGTGTTCTTGCTTTCTGGACTGTTAAAAGTTAAAATGCAGAGTACAAGTAAAGAAGGCCTTACTCTACAGAGCCTAACTTACCATTCTCATTGTGTCTGTCCTGAACCAAATGCTGATAGACTGAATCTGGGACTTCAGACTGGCGATAGTACCATTTGACATTCATAAGGAGGTGGTCCCGTTTACTCTGAAAAAGAAGGTCTAAAGGCATTACTAAAAAGGAAATCAGACCATATCTGACACAATCTTCTAAAGTATACAACTTGTTTTCACACTGAAGAAAACCTGAGGTAAGACCCAAAAGGGAGGAAAACATATTTCTGTGACAATGAAACAAGGGCAACGTGCTAAGGACAGATTGACTTTCAAATTAGACAACGGTGACAATAACCTACTGCATCACCATGCAGTTGTACCTCTCTAAATATCTGACCAGCAAATACTGTCTAATCTACTCACCCACAGAAATCTAACGCAAGAAAAGAAGAGGCAGGAATCAGAAAAGAATTGGAATTTTTGGCCTCATGCAGCACGATCTTAGTCTGCTGATTTCAACAAACAAGTTATTTCTGGCCAAACACAGAAAAAAGAATACCAATAGCAACACAATTCAACACAACCCTTCTTAACAGCTGTAACCAGGAGATACCAGGGTTTTTTTCCCCCGAGGACAGATGGATTGAGACGTGGTTGTAAATGTTCTTTATTATACTTCTGCACACAAAAGAACAGGATGCCGCGCTTCCACCCCAATAATTATAGTCTCTGACCGCTCATGTACCTCACAAAACCAGCAGCAAAATTTACACAAAACTGTCTTCCTCAAGTGCTCCTTTTTCAGCTGAGAATCCAGCTACCAGTTTGCTCCTTCTCGGAAGGAAACCGAAGCATAAACACCACTTTAAAAGAGACTTTTTAGATCAAAGTGTTACAGACTCTGTGCTTCAGTTTATCTTTGAAACGCTTGGTAGGCAATTCTTTCTACTGCTCCGAAACACTTGAAGAAACACAGGAAGTCCTAAAGGAAAATTAACATTCTTTTGGAATGAGGCAACTGCAAGCACCGGTTAGTTTTTTCTGGACTACAGCTCTCTAGAGCCTTCTACGACTGCTCTTAAAACATTTACACTTACAAGTTAAATCACAGGTTACTGGACCATAAAGTTCTTACCGTCTGTCTTGTTCACGTCAGCCTAGTTGTTACAGCGATTTCCACCCTTTCTGCGTATCAAACATCACAATCTTGCCATTAAATGCACTTCTTGAAGGCGTTGATTAAAAACACATGTAATACCACAAAAAAACTGCTAGTGGCAGCATTGTGCCAGAAAAAAGTTTAACTAAGCCACCGCTACCACACGCGCGTCATGTACCGAAAGCCTCGAAAAACATTCAAGAACATACTAAGCATACTTGTGCTGTACAGGAGAAGCCTGAACCTACTCTTTTTTTTTTTTTTAAACCAGCACATTTGCAGCCAAAGACAATACGCTTGTCTAATGCATGAAAAAAAAATCGAAAGGACAAAGTCTGAGAGGCAACAGCGATGGCTGCGGCCTGCTGTTCGAAAAGTGTGGTTGCAGACTTTGCATACGTTGTATGCACACATGGAGATTATAGCCCAACGAAAAGGAAGGGATCGGAACCGTCAGATGTTTTCATTGCCTTGGCGTCCCATACAGGCCCGTCAGTCGGCTGGTCACGGTTTTATTTTTCATTAGGCCAAGACTGTAAAGGAGATGGTGATGCAATCCCTTAACTTCCCAGTCTCAGTTTCTTATTAGATCATGAAATAGCACAGGGCTTTTTAGCAGCACGGGGATAAGGCCAAGGTCAACACTTAGAACGTATTCTGATACACTTGGATAGAAGAAATTAGCGGTTGGAAGTGAGGTTTTTCCACTTGCTTGCCCTAAGGGACCATCTCATTCTCTGCCCTCCCAAAAGTCTGTCACTCAGTCGACGCAAAGAGAAGGCTTTGCTGATTGCTATGTCTCCTGTAAGCTTCACAGCAAACGCCCAAGTTCTGCAAGAGGCTTTAAAAAAAGGAATAGCAGGGGATTACACAAGAGCTTATTAGGACTATTCACACATTAACTACAGCAAAGGCAGGCAAAGTATCTACTAAGTTTTGCAGTATTTTATCACCTCATTACTCAAAAATCCCACACTTTAGGAAAGCCTAACATCTACAGTCGGGAGCTTTTTGCTAGTTCAAGCATTTTAAGTTTTACGGCAGGGTACCAATTTCCCATTTTGAAACTCCGGTCTCAGACTCACAGAATGCCTTAGTTGCTCCCTTCACTGCCGTTTATTCCAGCGGCTAGCAGTTACTCTGCACAGTGAAAAAGAACAATATCATTTCCTCCCCTGAAATCAGATTCACAATCAGGAAGAACAAGGGGAATGAGATTGAATTTCAGGAGGCTGGCTGAATCCAAGAAGTTTTCAGGAAAATGATGAATTGCCCTACACCACGACCTGCCAACAGGAATGGTATTGACTTCTTCAGGTTGATCATGTAGTTGCGAGGCATTGTCAGAGGGGAAGATTACAAAGAAAAAGAAATTACAGGTGTTTTCATAACACAGAAAAGTGGCTTTTCTTTCATTACACTTCAGAACAAAAATAATGTATCCTTAAAAAATACAGAGGGAAAAGGTGAAGTTTGAGTTAGAACCTAAACAGATAATAAAAACAATAAATCAATCTAAATAGTGTGTACAAGCATAGATTTGAAGCCATGGCATACAGCAACCTTCTCTGCTTTTAACTTCTAAAAACTAAATGTTATGAAATAGGCATTTTACATTAATTACAAATCACAAGAAAAGATTAGCATGGCCAACGTAGAAGTCTTTAAAAACTATCACATTCATTACATATCTTTCACGAAAGCAAGCAGCACATGCTCGACAATGCTGACTGCTCTTCATCATTTGAATTGTAGCGTGCCTGTCTATGGGACGACTCAATGCCTCTCTACATAAGGAACACAGCAACAAACACACCATCATTTACAACAGAGATATGCAAGTAACTTTTTACAAAAGAGTCTCTGGACAATGATGCAATTAAAAATATGCGGACATATTAATAAGCTGCTATTTGTGGTCTGCTGATAGCAGTTGGGTTTGGGTTGGTTTTGTCGTTTGGTTTTGGTTTGGGGGTGGTGTGTGTTTGATGTCCTTCCTAAATACATCTCTACCATGTTTGCTGCTTTATGTCCAATTAATTTAAAAGCTCCCTCTTGAAAAGTATTTTCTGTATCCACTCTCCAACGTGCGTGATTTTGCAGGTTTTAACCTGAAGTTGCAATCTCCCTAAAAATATAAAACGTCTGTCAGAATCTTGTTTTTCACATTTACATCCTTCATTGCACAGAAATTCCTAGACATGCTATTTTGTCAGCTAACTTTCTAAATATGTATGTCACTTACAGAGCACACTATACTCAGAGGTGTCAAGGCATCAACTTCTGTGCTAGACTATTTATTTTAGAACCATGTGCACACAAAAGAAGTGTCCCCAAGTTCATAAAGGTTTGTTTGGTTTCTTTTTACACCTCTACATATGAAAGATGCAGATAGCCACATGCCAAATTCAGACTTGCAGAAACCACAGAAATGGCAAGTCCTTTAAACTGTCTTTCTGTCAGCTCAAAAAGATTCCCTATGCTACAAACTCCATTCTGCCCTTAAATGAAAATATCGTCTATCATTGCAGTGCTCAAAAAGTACTCATTTGGGCATTTTGTTGTTGCTGCTGTTTTGTTCTTTTGTTCCTTTTGAAAAACAGGAATCTGTTTTGGACATTCAACAAGAATTAGATGAAATCTGTAAATGGATTAAAGCATCCCAGTTTACAAGCATCTGGTCAACTTCTATTTAAAAATGAGCCTCTCCCGTAATAAAGGAAAAAAAATAATCTTGCAGATTCTCTTTAAATTTCCACAGCATTTGTGACAATTCTGAGGTGACAGTTTTCTCTTAGAGCACACTTGAAAACAGAGTTACTGCACATTACAATTCACATCTTAAAGAAGAGTCCACATTCTCTTCCCAGGGTTATGACTAACCAAATCGTGCAAATTATCACAGATGTCCTGCAGATTCTCTCCGAGGGATTTAAGTAGTATCCTTCATTACTTGCCCTATTTAGATACCATGTTAAACCACAACTAGCTTTGGAAACAATATACCAAATGCTAGAGATGACAGATGGGCACACTGGAGTCAGTGAATAATAGCTATTTCAAAGGAACAAACAGCAAAACAGAAACAAGGAAAGGAACATCTTTCCTTTCAAATGTATTTTCAAGAACAAAACTTTTCTATCAGAAAAAAAATCCCATGATTAATTCTAAGCTACCAAATTATTTGTATTATTTTAACAACATATTAAACATCTTGTGCACGGCAGCATAGAAGCTCTTGCTTCACAAAGCCAGTTTTCAAGTGGACATTAATTTTTTTTAACACTAGAAATTTCCCCACTCCTTCGGGGCATTATTTGTCCCCCCAAAACGATTACTTCATTTCAGACAAACAGTTCTGATTATGCTCCATGACACAGTATTAGCCTGACTCCAACACAAGTGGTAGATTTGACTTGCTCCACTTGCTGTGCCTCACCCTCCCTGGCCCATCCCTGCCGTGTTGAATTGCTCCCCATATTTCTACTCCTACTGTAGAAATATTTTTACACTTACTCAATTTTGACATTTACTAATATTCAAAGGAGGAGGGCGGGAGAAACCTGTCATACCAGATCCCCTGGGGAAAATAAAAGCAAAGGAGGGACACAAACAAAATTATCTGGAAATCAGCAGCTAAAGAGATACAGCGAGGATCATTTTTCTTCCCACTCTGCAATAGCATATGTCATTTCCAGTTCTCAGGATATCTTTTTGTAGGCTGTTTTCTAATTAAATAAGAAACCTGATCAGCTGTTTGTAAGCCAAGAAAACCCAGCTTGGAAATACAGAGGTTATTACTACAAGTTTATTTTATTTTTGCAGCTTGATTATTTAATTCCAATGCATGCATATTAACACACAATTACTTCTTGCAAACACAGAAGCATTGTCAAAAGTGAGAGCTATCGGTATGCAGCAAGAAATAAAAACGTTAAATAAGAGCACTAAATATGGCAACATGCAGTTTAATCCCCTCTGCCCCTCAAATACACAACCCAAGGCAGCAGCCCTTTTG